CCTTTTGAAATTTATGTATGTTGTTTACATTAGTTAGACGAAGAATCCTATTTAATTTAACAATTTTTGTTAATTATTTCTAGAGTTATTGTCCTTGTTTCACTTAAATGAACCTTGTGAACACTCTATCGACATAAGTTATCATCCGACCTGTATTATTATATGCATTATCTAGATCAGTAAAACGAAGCGGCCTATTAAATTTTAAGAATTTCCGTTGATTACTTCTAGAGTTATGAAATTTATATGCATTATTTAGATCACGAAAACAAAGAAGCAGTTTCCGTTGATTACTTCTAGAGTTATGGCCCTTGTTTCACTTTGTTGAACCCCTTGTGAACGCTGTAACGACAAAAGTTATCGTCCGATCTGTATTCAATTAATATGCATTATTAAGATTAGTGAAAGGACAAAGCCTATCAAATTTCAGCAATTTCTGTTTCTATCTTCTAGAGTTGTGACCCTTGTTTCACTTTAATGTACCCCTTGTAAATAACAAAAGTTATCATTCGTTCGGTATGAAAATGACATCAGTGTCTTGTTAAAGCTCCCATTACAAAAGAATAAATATGTGAACCCTTGTCGACTGCTAAGACAATCTAGCTGCTGTGGGTGTATGTTTCATTGCCTGGCAGCCTATCTTTCACAGACATGTAGTTTGTAACTTTGTGTAGGCCGTAGTGCCGCTGTCCGGGCAAAATTTCCCTCATGGCACACTGTATGGCGTATGCCCGTCTTCATTAGCCCAGTTCGGAGCAAAACAGTAGGACGTTAAACCCCATTTCATTTCATTTCATTTCATTTTGTAACTTTGTATGATTTTACATACATGTACATATGGCAAAATTTTAATTGGAAGTGCTATTAATTGATATTCCCAAAGCTTTTCATCGCTGTGGTTGTTTTGAATTAAAATCTTGATTGTACAGGTAGCTAACATCAAATAAACTTTTCTCCTGATAGCATTAATGTATGGTGTAGAAGACATGTATGTCAAATATTTCTTGTTAATTGTACTTAATCTATGACCATGGATAATGCTATGGTGGCCTTACTTGTATTATTGACATTGAACACTCAATAACACTATGTACACAATCAACTTGTTCTTCTCTTCTATACAACAAATTTTAACATTCAAATCACAGATAAAAAATTGTGAATGGATATCTTCACAAATTGCATAATATAGATAGAGCAACCGATACAAATAGGTTTAAGTTTAGACTTCACTATCACAATGTTTTTCGAAAGTTGACTCAATATAAGAGAAAGTTATGAAGGTTAGCCAGTTCACTATTCATTTAAGCATGAACATTTATTTGGAAAGTGAACAAAGAGGTGTTATCTTTACGGTAGACATTTCTGAACTTGGCACATTCACTGAAAGAAACGACAGGGATTTGTCAAGTCCTTATTATGTCTAACTTTCCTTTTTTTAAACCAATTAAATGAATTCTTTTTCTTTCATGCCTTTTGTGAGATAGAGTAAATAAGTGTAGAATAATGAATACACAGTTTCTGATACCCTACTGTGAAGTTCACCATTTCTCTTTATGGCTGCTCTCTATAATAAGTAAGCTTTATAATAGAACCATACACTGAACTGCCAACTGAAGTGACTGAATTGCTAGCAAACTAATCAAATTATTTTCATTATTTATTGAACATTAATCAGAATATGAATTGATAAATAGAATAAAGTATGATTTTCCCTGCTATTCAATGTAGGCTATTGAATAAAGTTACGTGAAGATATTGATTACACGGCAGTAGTTTATTCATAATATTAGTCATAGAGAATTTACCATCTGCACTCAAAATCTGGTATCTGTTATTCTAATGGAATGTTTGACCCAAACCAACCCCCGCCCCCTCCCCCCAAAAAAAGAAATAAATAAAAAGAAACCCCACCATCATTACCTAACCAATCCCCCAAAATAAAAAACAATCAATAAAAAGAAACCAAACCATTATCTGATGGCAATGGTGCATTCCTAGCAATGTTTTGTCTTAAAATGACCTAACCAAAGTGTTCCAAACCGAGGAACATTGAGTTTGTTTAGTACCAATTTACATGTTGTTTTTTTGTCCTTTGTCATTTCAAAACATTTTAATAGTTTGTCTCTGTGTCCACCATCATGCTGAACGTTTATAGATTATACATTGTACATAAATCAGTACACATAAAATTTTATGTGCCCCCTTTTATAGTTAATTGTCATGGAAGCTGAGAACAAGTGAAAAGGATTGAGGTGTAACCACCATTTAATTCCCCAATATGGCTACCACCATACCATGATTTCTTTATCCCTCTTAATCTCTTAAAAGAAATTAATAATACTCTGAAGCATAAAAATTTCTTCAGCTCTTTTAAATAAGATTTACACCAACTGTTTAAATAAAGGAAATATTAGAATACGAATGTCATAAAATATTTTTGTCTCCAAGAAGCCGTTGAATGGTGTCATAAATGAAATAATATGGCTCGTAAATTTTAATCTTGTTCTCGTGACAGTAAATAAATTGAATTATTTCTTTGATCAGTCAATGGTGTAAATATCGTTACATTAAGATATTGCTATAGCTAAATCATATATCATAATTTTTATATGCCCACATTTAATGATTTTCGATAATCTGAACAGCTAAAGCTACATGTATCATCTGATTACCTATATATGTTTTGTGTATATTTGATAGCACTAGGAAGAACTAGAAGCCAATACAAATCTTATTATTTGTGAAAATTACTTCATGGGTTGTTACTCTTGTTCAATTTTTACTCTTATAAATGATCCCTTTACCTACAAAATATGCAACAACGTTAGTGGGCTGTTCAGACAACTGGTGTGGGTGTTATGTTTCTTTGCCTGGTAACCTGTCTTAATGTTTTATATGCATATTCCCAACTTCGGTACAAACATGATTAATGACATTGGATAATCAATCTATATTCATTGATAGTTATAAATGTTATGATTATTTCCTTGTTCAAGGTTTTTGTATTGTGTCTAGTCAAGATTTTAGAATCTGCCTAGCTACGGTGGCTGATAAGGGACATGGAAAATAATATCATTTATATTTTTTAATATTCACCCAAGTCAATTTTAATATAATTTGTTTTTTTATAATTTTCACCCAAGTCAATTTTAATTTCCACCCAAATCATTTGTAATATAATTTGTTTTTTTTATAATATTCACCCAAGTCAATTTTAATATAATTTGTTTTTTTATAATTTTCACCCAAGTCAATTATAATTTCTACCCAAGTCATTTGTAATATAATTTGTTTTTATAATTTTCACCCAAGTCAATTTGTCCCCTAGGACAGTTTGTCCCAGGACAACAATATCCATTATCAAAAACTGAATTAATCTTTACTTTTTATCCTAAATCTCAGTTTTGATGCTAGTTTTACATCATTTTACATTAAATGATATGCGTGTAGCAATCAGCTATGATCAGTGACACCTTTTGTGAGTTAAAGAATCCATTTATCCCTTCACTGTGGGTATTCTCCAGTGTCAATACTGCACTTGACTTATTATCAATATGCATTATTGTGTGTGCATGATAAAACAATGTAGACCGGACATCAGTTAGTTTCTTCAATATCTTCAATTTCTTTAGAATTAACTGTTGATCATAATTAAGGGACGAATAGCACTAGGGGACGAATTGTCCTCAGGGATGAATTATCCTAGGATGAATAGTCCAAGGGGACAAATTGTCTGGGGATGAATAGTCCGGAAACGAGTTGTCCGGGGATGATTTGTCCCATACCCGCAATCCACACCTGTATCTATAACAAGTTAATTAGTTATCAAAGACACTTGACGACAGGTGTGAAAACTATTGGTGGACAGGTTCTGTTTGATGAGAAAGATTACGCCAGACAATAATTGACCAACCTCCACTGTATAATGTTTCATTATATGCTAGTCAACCAGTGGCAAATGGTTGAAGGCCTATTGTTCAGTGACTATGGACATATTTAAGTAATGAACATTTCTTCGCCTTTATTCCTACTGATCATTTAGTTTTAACAAGACAGGGTGACAATGATGACAGTAGGAGATCAACTGATCAAAAGGCAAGGTGAGGATTTTCTCACATGGGATAGGCCCAAGTTATTAAAAATATGGGTAAACAGAGATTTGAAAAACTTACACAGCAGTTTGTGGAGGTCATCTCAAATATCATGTACATTGTAATACTAAAACCACTGTCAAAATCACGACACTTGTCAGATTAAAATTCTTTAAGTTGAACAAATCATCTTAATCTGTTAGTGGGAGTCGCAGGGATAGACCTAGCTAGGGTTAGGTCACCTCTTTAGTAGCTAGTGAACCCAGAGGTCAAGAAATAAAATAAAAACAACAATGATATGTTGTTGTGACCATGGCATGGTATATTGGGTACCATGTGGTATAATGAAGTAGTTCAGGTGGGCTGTGACAGGTAACAATATAGTCATCAGTAGAACAGACAGTTACAGACAATCAATAACAAAAGAGTAATACCATATCAAATTGTAGTAGAGTATTAATATTTAATAGGATGAGATTACGTTGACCAATGGTCAACTAACTTGTCTATTTATTCTACTGATTAACATTGACATTGATAGGATTGAGGTGACACGATATGTATTTGGGCACTCATTACCATCAGTATAACACTATAAACTGATTAGAACTGTAATCTGTGATGATCATTATAATTATTGATCAGATTGATTGATTTATCAAATTATTAGAAGGAATGTAGAAAAAAATGATGATGCCATTTCCAAACATAATTTGTTTTGAAATGAAATTAGAATTGAAACAGGATGTCTTGTCCTTGTCAAAATTTCAATTTCAATAGAATTTAATCTACATAATTATATGTGAAATGCTTGTGTTTCTGTATTGAGCTTTGCTTTATTTGTAGAAAAATTCATTTGAAAATTAAAACAGTGAAATAATAGATATCTTCTTATTTCTTTTACAGTAGTTTTATTGGATTCTGAAAATTTACAGAGATTAAGTTGGACTACTCATATAGCAAAAAAGCCAGATGCAACAGATACTTCAGAAAATCCTAATCAAGGGGTAAGATGTTTATTTATTTATTTTCAGTTGAACCAAACGTTTACATATTTCTGCATTAATAGCTGCATCATACATTACAAACATTGAATTACTAAAAGGATATGAAACAAAAACTCATAACAATTGACATTTTAATGATTTATACTGGTGGTGTGGCCCAACTTCTGTAACCAGTACAAACAACAGAAATGAAATGCTTTATAGGAATTGTTCAGTTGTTCTGTTTTTTTAGTATAAAAAAGTAACATATTCATTTTAAAAAAAAACCCAAAAACCATTGATAAACAGATTACATTGGAAAGTAATGTTGATGCATACTTCACTCTGATACACTTTATTGTAAATAACTAAAATAATTGAGTTATTAACCTCAGTTAAATGTACCTGTTACTACCATGTACAAAATGTTTACTGTGATAGTGGTAGGAGAATTTTACATGATAATATCACTAATTTATCCACACAGATGTGCATTTATGAAAAAAATAATTATTTTGCATAGAAGCAGTAGGGTCATAAAAAAGATTTAGCAGAAAGATAGGTTTTGATACTCATTATAGCATCATTTATATAGCATGCAATTAAAAAATCCAGAAAATAAGATAGATTCTATATTCTATAGACAGAATTAGAGCATAAAGTCTAGCACGATTATGAAGCGTGATTATTGATAGTTCATATCAATCTTAACAGATACAGGATTTAATAAACAGAGACAGTCACATATCCTTATAATGTATACCCAGGGCCATGTTTATGGTGCCGACAGACTGGAAGGATGCTCTGTTTTAAAATTGATATATGTGGTTTACATTAGTGAGACGAAGAAGCCTATTTAATTTCAATAATTTATGTGTATTACATCTAGCGTTATGACCCTTGTTTCACTTTGTTGAACCTTGTGAAAGCTATTATGGCAAAAGTTATCATTTAAATTAGTGAAATGAAGAAGCCTATTGAATTTCAGCAATTTCTGTTTATTACGTCTAGACTTATGGCCCTTGTTTCACTTTATTGAACCTTGTGAACAATCTAACTCCAAAAGTTATCACCCGATCTTTGTGAAATTTATATGCATTATTTAAATTAGTGAAACTAAGAAGCCTATTGAATTTCAGCAATTTCCGTTAATTACTTCTAGAGGTATGGCCCTTGTTTCAATTTGTTGCACCTTGGGAACGCTCTAACATCAAAATTCATATGCGTCATTTAAATTTGTAAAGATAAGAAACCTATTGAATTTCAGCAATTTCCGTTTATTACTTCTAGAGTTATGGTCCTTGTTTCACTTTGTTGCACTTTGTGAACGCTCAAACTTCTAAAATTATCTGCCGATCTATATGAAATTTATATGTGCCATAAGTTAGTAGAAAGAAGAATCCTATTGAATTTCAGCAATTTCTGTGTATTACGTCAAGAATTATGACTCGTTTCACTTTGTTGAACCTTGTGGACTCTCCAACACCGAAAGTTATCCAAACTTTGTGAAATTTATGTGCATTATTTAATTAGTGAAACCACGAAGCCTATTGAATTTCAGCAATTTACAATAATTACTTCTAGAGTTATGGCCCTTGTTTCACTTTGTTCAACCTTGTTAATGCTTGATTGATGAAAGTTATCATCCGATATGTATGAAATGTATATGCATCATTTAAATTTGTGAAACAAGGTCTATTGAATTTCAGCAATTTCTGTCAATTATTTCTAGAGTTACGGTCCTTGTTTTACTTTGTGAACCTTTGAACGTTTGAATGACAAAAGTGATCATCCGATCTGTATGAAATTTATATGCATTATTTAAATTAGTAAAACGAAAAAGCCTGTCAAATTTCAACAATTACTGTAAACTACTTCCAGTGTTAGGCCCTTGTTTCAGTCTGTAGAACTTTGTGAACCCGCAAACGATAAAATTATAATCTCATCTGTATGGAACGGTCTTGTGAAGGCCCCCAATTACTGTACCTACAAAAGAATAAATATGTGACAACCCTTGTCGACCCCTCGGACAATTAAGCTGCTGTGGACATATGTTTCGTTGCCTGGCAACCTATCTTATACAGATGAATATAAACACTAACCCTGTAAGAATTCACTGTATTTGTGACAGAATTGATCAAATAAACAAACCTTTGACCAATGTGCTTTGACATAAGACAACTATTGCTAAATGTTAGGTAAGCTTAGATGTTAGAACTCGACTGTGTTAGTTCTCTGGGAGGGAACTTTTCTTAAAGAATGTTCCAGTTGGTTAAAGAGAAGGAGAGTTGGGCCGCTATTCCTTTGAAGGCTGTAGAAAACAAACATGAAGAGATTGTCCTTCCTGTGGCCCTAGCCACTCGGAGCACAAACATCTCACACAGTAAATGTACACACACAATAGAAAGTTTTTCTCAAGAAAAATTGATGATTGGTGCGCTCTTCTTCAAATAGCAGGAGGAAATGGTAAAAATACTTGCCATGATACGTCCATGTTTATGTAAGATTCACAAGTGTTTTTATAAAAGATTGAACCACAATGTAGTCACAATGTCTTCAAATGTTCGGCCATGTTGCCTTTTCTTTCATTTTAAGTCTGTGAAAAACTCCAGTTTAATCAAATACAATCATTCCACCTTCTATCAGACTAGGCTCTAGTAACGAATTGAAATCTCTCAAACATTTGTTTCATTATCCTTTGTCTGTACTTTAAAGAAAGACAAAAATATTTTACAAGTTTTACTCAAAGGATTGAAACGATTGTTTTTCAGATGAAATTTTAGACAATGATTTCTGTGTTGGATAGAAAATGGAAAGCTTATGAATTGTTGATGAATTCAATTTTTTGATACCTGTATGTTGCTGATCGTCAATTGCATATTTTCTGACAAGAATTTGTTTTCACAGCTTAATCCACACTCAAACTCCTTATTTAATATTTAGTTAAAAAAAAACCAAAATCTAAATATCAAAGTTAGACAATCTCCCGACTTTGATTCAGTCAAAAGAAGCCTATCAAAAGATTTCAGAGAAGATTTTAAGTGGTGCTAACTTGTTATGACCATATATTTGGTTTACATCGTCTTTAATTGATGCACATTGTTGACATATTGTTATAAATATTGAACAGAATTGGAATTGAATTATTTTTGCAGTTTGCAAGTGATTAAAAATCACTCAAATGATGATCACAGACTATAAATTTATCAAAGTTATGCATTACAGAATTTGTTAAAGTCACTACATCCACATTCCAAACGGCGTTATGGTATACATGTAGTAGTTCATAAAGTATTTTTACAGTCCGGGGGTGAATGGGCTTTTTATTATTATTTTTAACCCCAACACAAAAGTTAAGCATTCATTGGATACATATTGTTATATATTAACTTCTCCATCAAAATATTGTAAAAGGAGTCAGTCACACTTCACAGGGATTAATTTTCAAAAGAAAGCTTAATTGAATTTTTTTTTTCTTTTTCTTTACATAAATATATAGCTATTCATGTCTAAGTTAGTCTGATTGTATTTCTGTAATAAAGAAATGAATCTTTAAAATGGAAGATTTAATATTAAATTTATTAGTTTTTAATTTTCATATTTTGTATTCAACATCAAAAGACATTTGATTATACCAAGGATTTAAAAATCTGGAAAACATAATTCACAAAGATATAAAAAGTATTATAGTCACAGTGCATACATGTACATGTAGAATCTAGACAGCAGACCTAATAATGTAGAAACAGTAGGGTGGTGAATAGTATTAGATAAATGGCTGGTATTGAAGAACGCTTCATTTAATCTCGGCACACAAATAGCTCTAATGTGTTGGAGCTTCAAATAATAGACTTAAATTTCAACTGTTGGTCGCTGAATAAGGGAGGGCTTCAACATTTCCTTGATCAAGAGTTAATGGTTTTGTGCTGTCTCTGTTGTCCCGCTGGATTAAAGGACTTGAACTGGGCTGTTTGAATACTGTCTTATAAAATAGTGTGTAATTTAATAAGCTATATAATTTTGTAAAGTATAATACTTATTGTGTGATGAGATACATTCTGTGTCAATTCTCAGCAGGAAGACGAGTTTCCTATCTGCCCTATCTTCCAGTTAGAATAAAAGATAATTCAAAAAATGAGCCAGCTGATAATATTTGATTATTATGAAAGAAATATAAATGTTAGGTACAATAACAAGACATTGTGTCTATGTACATTTGATTTTTCTGTGGCTACCTCCCACCCTAAATTAGATAAACTAACAGTTTACTTAATTGAGTGTCTGTGATATGACATATCTATTACTGGGCACAGTTTTAAAGAACGCTAATCAATGTCTGGTCTCAAGTCTAAGCTTTAAGCAAACTGCATGTATTTTAGTACAATATATAGAATAACTGTAGATTGCCATATCTTTTCAGTAAGCAAATTTCACAAGACAATTGAGAAATCACAAAACCATGGTAATAGCATGTTCAGCTAACAACTTGATCATCAACCAATAAAAACATAGGATCAGAGAGCAGCACGTCTGTGGTGAATACCTTTACTTTGTAGGGATCACGAAGAAAGTTCATGTGCCGTCTGCCCATTTGTATAGTTCTTTACAAGTAATGATATTGTCCTTAAATGAAATTTGCTACACCAAATTTGAATGTTTACAAAGCAGAAGTGATGAATAGAAGAAATTTGATCCTCAGCCTTGCATCAACTTAATATATCTACAAATGTATTGCAGGCGTTGGGTATCTTTGTATTACCGTCAAAAGAGCTTTGTTCAACTAAATGCTGAAGAAATAAAATCCATCCCATCAAATATATACATTGAAAATTGTCAAATCTTGCTACTTGTGCAAGCAATACCAACCACTACTAGTAATGTTGAAACTTCGTGATTCAGTCAAAGTTATTTGGTAGCAGAGCTGATCTAAAACAAGTTTTAAATGTGCGCCTAATTCACTTGATCAGTGAACCTTGAGATCTATTACAAATACATCACTTAAAAAACAGATGGAGGTCCAA